GGGGGCACAGGGACACTGGCAGTGTGGGGTGGCTTGGGGACCTGGCACACATGGAGTGGCACAGGGGACAAGGGGCAGGGGGAGAATAGGCACAGGGATTTGGGAGGCAAGGGTGGCTTTGGGGGCAGAGGGGGTGGCAGCAGAGGGGGTGACACGCGGTGTCCCCGCAGGCCGTGGGCATCTCGGTGGAGTTCGTGTCCCACATCACGTGCGCCTTCGCCCGCAGTGCCCAGCCCACCAGGGTGGAACGAGCCGCCGAGGCCACCAACACCATGGGCAGCAAGGTAGGCACAGGTGACACCGTGGGCCCCCTCGTCCTGCCTGGGGGTGACACTGTGGGACCCCTAACCCTGCTGGGATTGGGGGGATGCCATGGTACCCCAAATCCTCCTGGGAGGCCCAGGATGGGGAGGGGGGAGAGGGGCAAGGTGCTGGGGGGGGCACCGCTGGCTGGTGTGGGGTCAGCAATGGGTGCCCAGTTCAGGAATTCCCAGTTAAGGGTGCCCAGGCCAGGGTGCAGAGCACGAGGTCCTGGGAGTGCCCCAGCACCCTTCTTGGGAGTCACAAGTGGGTGCCCCAGTCAGGAGTCAGTGGGGCTCCCAACTTAAGGGGTGCCCAGTTAAAGGGTGCCCATTGTGGGGTGCTGTGGGTGCCCCAGCACTCGAACTGGGGATCACAAGTGTGTGTCCAGTTAAGGGGTGCTCCAGTTAGGGGTGCTCAGTTAAGGGGTGCCCATCCAGTGGTGCTGAGGGTGCCCTTGCTGGGGGTTAGAGGATGACCAGTTCAGGGGTGCCCAGGTCAGGGACAATGTGGGTACTTCAGTGCCTCACTGGGGTTAACAGGGGTGCCCAGTTCAGGGGTCCCAGTGCCCATGTCGGGGTGCGGGTGCCTGTGTTCGGGTACCCAGTGCCCATTTTGGGGTACCTGGTGCCCATTGTGGGTGCCTGGTGCCCTGTCACAGTGTCACATCATGGTGCCACCCCTGCAGGGTGACGTACGTGTACTACGAGCAGTACCTGACGGTGGTGGTCGAGGGGCTGGTGACACTGGCAATGTGCCTGGTGCCCACCTTCGCCGTGTCCTTCCTGCTGCTGGGCATGGACCTGCGCTCCAGCTGTGCCACCCTGGTCACCATCGCCATGATCCTGCTGGACACCGTGGGGTTCATGGCCCTCTGGGACGTGCCCTACAACGCTGTCG